TTTTTTTTTTTTTTTTTTTTTTTTTTTTTTTGAAGTGAAAGTATTGTTTTGCTTGAAAATTACTGAGATGGCATATTAAAATTGCTTACTTTTTTGCTTTTTAGCTAAGTTGGTTATAGCTTCTTTGAGATTAGTTTATTTATTCATTTTTATCAGTATTTATTAGATAATGCAGAAAGACAGATTAAAATAATCTAAGTGAAATTGTAATTTTTTTTGCGTTAGATGTCTTGCATTTCTTATTCTTTTTTTTTTGACGTTATTTACTGAAGAAAACAGCTGTGTTATTGATGCTTATGTAGCTGATATGTTTTTGAAATTTTTTCAAGGAAAGGATTTCTATGCTGGTTTTTTTAGACTTTCCATCAAGTACGAAACTTGCATCTACAAGAGCATCATAGTAAAAGACTTCTGGAAAAATACGGGTGTGCTATACAACACTTTATTGTTGCGAATAGCAAAGAAGATGCGGCAAAACAGATGAAAACTTTTGGTTAGTTATAATTTTAATCAGATTTTTTATGAAGGGAGGGTTTTGCCTATTTTTCTTCTTAAATTTTCTTTGAAAATTGGTGGAATTTCAACAGATGATTCTTAAAGCTTGTTTAATGATTTTAAGGATTTTTGTTCTAGTTACTTCAAGTAAAAGTTGTTATCTTTGCTACCAGTAGTACTGTTGAGAAATACTGTTATATTTTTAGATCATATTTTGGAAGGTTAGATGATTTGAATTTGGAAGGAAGTTAAGTTGAGACTGACTAGCAACAATAAAAATAGTTTATTTGAGGGTAGATAAATGGGACATGTGGAAACGTTAAGTTGTGGTGAATTTTAGGGCAATTTTTGGGTTAAGTTAAAATAAAGAGCCTAATTTTTATTTCAGCATATGCTACTTTTGATTTGCTTTGATGTTTCGTCTAATTATTACTGTGTTCTGATAATCGACCAGTACAGGAGTGATTTATCAGACCGATACTACTGTAGCACTAATTTGAAAATTTTGAAACTAATTTTCCTCTGTCGCACTTGACTTTTTCAACGCAATTATAAGACTCTGACTGATTAGCTGCCTTTAATCTTAATTTTTGGGTTCATATCTTTCCTACTTATATTATTTTAGCGGTGTGACAAATCCTTTCCTGGTTTGTGATATTAGAATTGTTTCTACTTAGCCTTTCTTTCAAATTTCTGACATTATTCTTACTGTCACCGACTGTTTGCTTGGTGCTATGTTTCTTGGTGCTCTTTCATTCTTATGCTTCACTCTGAAAACTAATCATACTGCGTAAAATTTATTTGCTTTTTATGCTCTTTAGTGCTCTTGTTTTAGGATCTCCCCTGTTTAAGAGGCTGTTAGCCGAGGGTCGAACAGATGATGGTAACTAGTTCAGTATTGAAGGTTTTTAGAAACACACATAATTGCATATTAATTGCACTTTTTACTAACTGATAACTTACGGTTGTCCTCGTTCCTACACACGTGTTCCTGTCTACGCGTTAATTGATGCATTCTTTTTAAAATCCTTGATTTAATCTGCGGAAATATCAGCAGTACTTTTTTCTTGTGTTTCGCCTATCTTTGACTACATCATAAAATTAGTTTTTTTATTTGCAGAACGTTATCATTATGTGGTTAAAGCGATGGTTCTTGCTGGAGGTAGGGGCAAAGGGAGATTTATTGGTGGTAGGGAAAATTTTGGAGGAGTATTTGTTACAAAAGAGTAAGTTAATTTAGACTTGGTTACTTTATTGTAGGCTAATCACTTCTGATTGTTTAGTTTTCAAATGCAGCAGTTTTAACTAAGGGTAATATGAACTTTTTAGCCGTAATGAAGTATTAGACGCTGTTCAAGAGATGATTGGAAAACGATTGGTGACCAAGCAGACAGGCAAAGATGGCATTTTGGTGAAAGAGGTTTGTCTATGTTATTACCAGTTTTGTAACTTCTGGATGTTTTGCTCACTACTTACCAGAGATCTTTCCATTTATTAGTTTACGTAGACAGCGCGCGAACCATAGTAATACAGTTGCTATTACATCGAAAAAATTATCGAAAAGTTAGGACATAACGAACAAAAAGTTTACCTAACAACATGGAAATGTAGTAATAACTTCAGAAAAAATGTCACTAGAAATTTTTTCAACTTTTTTTAACTTTTCGAGCATCTTTAGTTTTAGGAAACTTATGAGCACGTGGAATAGTCTGTCCAAGCAAATGAAAAAGTAAACTCTCGTAGATTTTAGAATTGCAGACGGTTGTGACTGTTTAAAATCGATGAAATAAGAACTACCAAACTTAAAGAACTGTTTAAGTTTTATAACTATCATGACTGCTTGTCGAAATTATGTTATAATTCATTGTTAGGACCTTTTTAAAGTATAACTATTGAAGTGTACCGCAGTTTGTTTGTTCTTATAAAATAAACATAGTCTACTGAAACTAAGGTGCGAAATTTTTGGATTTATATAAGTATTAATTGAGCATTAGTGCATAATGGCAAATGTTTAAGTTGCAAGCTGCAATCGTAAAATATTAAATTTGAATAATTTCATTTTGTTTAACTACTCATGTTTCTATCATTGTAAAGAGTAGGTTAAATAATTCTGCATTTTAAAGTTGAAATGAATGCCAAAAAATTAACGAATTATTTCTAGCTAATTATGGGATTTCCATTTTTTTACCAGAGATTGTGCAAGATTGCAAGTTCTTTTGTTTCCTTTCTTTTTCATGGAGGAAAACGTGCAGCATATATAAATGAAAACAAAGTAGTTCCGAGTTAAAGAATATATCATTGGAGTAATTCCTTTTTGTGTAGTGATTATCATATCAGTTACTGCGTAAATAGATAATTGGAAACAAATACCATTGAGTTTGGTACGAGAGTCTTCTTACATTCTGAGTTTTGTTTGATTAAGAGGATGTATGTTTCTTAGCTTTACTGATTATTTTTTTTTAATGTTGTAGAGTAGAGTCACAGGAAACACTCGATGTCTGGTCACTGTTTGAAAATGCGACTAAGCTCAGTACTATTGTGATTAGTAACCGATTGCAAGTTTAAAATTTGCGCCGCGATGTGACCAAGAATTATATGACAAATTAACCCTGAAATTCTTATCAAGCAGAAAATAGCTGAAAAAATTTTGATTGAAAATGACTTAGTTCTTAGTTTTTTAGGGGTAAACACGTCTGTCATTGTAAACTTTTATTTACCTGTTTTTGACGCTTATTGGTATCTTAGGTGATGATTGCGGAAGGAGTTGCAATTAAAAGAGAGACGTATCTTGCTATTCTTATGGATCGGGAACTTAGTTGTCCTGTCATTGTTCACAGTCCTGCTGGTGGGATGGATATTGAAACTGTATCGCGGACGAAACCTCATTTGATTTTTAAGGTTGAGTTATGTTCATATTTTAGTCTTTACCTTTTAAAACCTTGTAAATTTTGAGCATGTAATTCCAGAATTTTTTTCCCATTTTATTTTTATTGCTTGAATAATGACTTTCTGATAATTTTTGAAGCTATTTTTTGATTATCTGGCAGTTTTTTGTTCTTTGTCAAAAGCTTGCTTTTTTACTTTTTAAGGCTAGTTTAGAGTTTTGCAATTTTTAGGAACCCATTGACATCTCAAAAGGAATTTCTAATGCGCAAGCTGAAAAGGTTGCTAAAAATCTTGGGTTTGAAGGACCATCGATAAAAAAAGTTAGTTAATCCTTTTATTATATTCTTAATAACGTTTTAAATGGGCCTTATTTTTTTGTAACGTTGCAGGCTGCTCATGAAGTTAAGCAACTTTATGAGTTATTTATTGGTGTAGATGCAACTCAAGTAGAAATCAACCCATTGGTAGAAACCAAAGATGGGCAAGGTAATTTCGTATAAGCCAGCATTTGAATTTTATTTATTGGAAACTTTCAAATTGCTTTAAAACGTTCATAATTGGACATAACTAGTCTTTGCAAAGGAGGTCGATTATTTGATCAATATTTTAGCCTTTTGCGTTGACGCTAAACTTAACTTCGATGACAGTGCTGAATATAGACAAAAAGAGATCTTTTCTTTGAATTCAGATGAAGCGGAAGTAAGTGTGTTTACTCTTATAATACACCTAAACAGGCTTTAGTGAACTGTCGTTGTTACCCTTGAGTTTTATTTTTGAGAGAATTCTGGGGCAGTTTTTAGCTTTTCTGATCGGGCACACCCCCAGCTGCTCGAAAGAGGAACGGGTATGAATGATTGAAAGTAGCTCTGTCGTTTCTTATAGTATAGTTTATAAATTATATTTGTGAGTATTATAAAGGTTTCTTCTAATATTTCAGTTTACACAAGAAGCTAGAGCCAAAAAGTTTAATCTGAACTATATTCCTTTGGAAGGAAATATTGGCTGTCTTGGTAACTTCGCTGATTTTGTTTTTTTAATATTTGGATTATATTTGTTTGGAAACTTCTTTGATGAAGAATTTTATTTGTATTGCTTCTGGAGTTGTGCTGTAGATTTATAATTATTAGTAAATGAAATACCATTCAGTGAATGGCGCTGGTCTTGCCATGGCTACAATGGACATAATCAAATTGTCCGGAGGAAATCCAGCAAACTTTTTGGATGTTGGTGGCACAGTAACGGACAAAGCTGTTTCTGCAGCTTTTTCGATTATTCTCTCTGATCCAAAGGTATTCTTAAAAAGTTATATTTTTCAGATAAAATTCTTATTGATTTTATGTTTATAGGTGTTTTACATTTTACAAGAAATTTTCAAATTTAAATTGATACTTTACAGGTAGAGGGTATCTTGGTCAATATTTTTGGTGGAATTGTTAATTGCAAAACAATTGCTAATGGAATGATTGATTTTTTCCAGCGGGAACACTTGAAAGTGCCCCTGGTTGTCAGATTAGAAGGTAATTTGAGTATTTGCGAAATTTTTTGAATGGTATTGTTTTCGGAAGTTACTCAAATGACGACATTGTACTGTTTTAAAGGCTCTATCATCAATGTTTGATTATAGGCACTAACGTGGAAGAAGCTAAATTAATGTTAAAGGAAAGTGGTCTTCCTATAATCTTTGCTGATAACCTTGAAGCAGCTGCGAAGAAAGTGGTAGAAGTGATACAAAAAAAGTAGTTGGATAGTTTGTGGATTATATTTAGAGTAATAGTAATATGTACCAGTCAGTTACTGCAGTAGACGGCTTTGTTTGTAATATTTTACTTAGGAGGATTCAGATGGTGAATATCGTGGAGTGAAAACATTCTCAGAAATCTATCATAATATGTAGCCAAAGAAGCATAGCCTGTCTGTAAAACAATTCTTTCAAAGAAAGGCTTGCTATTCTGTATATATGGTCAAGTGGAACTCGAATTTAAAGTGACTTGTTTTTTCAGCTTTCGGAAAATCATAATATTTGAATATGGGTTTTGAATGGTGTATGGCTTCTAAGACGTCATTTTTTTATCAATTCATTTTTTGGTGACAGTTCTGGTTTTGGTGTCAAACAAAAGCTTTAGTATTGTTGGGATAAAGATTTTCAGATTTAATATTTTGATCAAGTAGGTCTTCTCATAGTTTCGTTGCTAGTTTTGATTTGATGTCGTTGTTGGTTGGTGGTGTTCCTTTGTTTTGATTAACTGAGATTTTCTGTGTTTTTATAGTATCTGAATTTCGCACGTGTTGGATAATGAGTGGATAACAATAATAATGTCCTTTAAGCTACCGGAAATACTTGTTAGTAATTGTTATTTTGTTTGTAGTAGTGAACTGATTGTTATCGTTATTCTTTTTCTTTATTTTGCTTTGTTTTTGTAAATTTATTTAGAAAGAAAGCGATGGTATAAAAAGGCTATGTTAAAATGTCGTTAATGTTGATTTAGAATATACATAAGCTGCAAATTTTCTTCAGCACTACTGATCTAGCATAAGCATTCTCAATAAATGCTGCTTTTTGGCTTACAAATTGTTTTTGTAGAGAGGTTTTTTTTAGGTAACACTTATTGGAGGGGGATGATAATTTGATCAAAAGAAAGAGAAAGTGGTTTAATTGGAAAGCAATTTGAAGGAATTATAGACAGGCAGTAAATGGGAGTTGGTTTGAGGATATCAAGATGTGGCATTCTAATAGGTAGTTGATCTACACTGCTGATATTAGTATGCGCGATACAGCATAGGTGTTTTTAAGGTATTATGTGGTGCTTTGAACTGATTAATTATTGAGCGGAAGAAGTAAGAGAATAAACAGTACTTATATCTGTATACTATGCGTGAAGGTTGGATACATCGATGTTCACAATTGCTTGGGGCCCAGTTCTTTTGCTTAATCCCATTATCTTAAAGACAGGTTCCCAGCGCTAATACTTGTTATTGGTTTTTTTAATTGACTTTCTAGAAGACCGGTGTTGCAAGGCTTGATGTTTTTTCGCTTTTACTTCTTGCGTGGTATACCTGAAGTTCTAGTTTAAGTCAACAAGTCCAAAATGTTGAGGATCTAATTGTGTTTTAAAACCATAAAAGATGGCTCCTTTTTTTTTCTTTTCTTGCTTCTTTTTGTTTGCATTAGCCAGCTGCTATTCTTCCGGTTTGAATTTACGATTTACTTGTTATGTATTGTTGATGACAGGAGCCAACCGGCATAATGCCAGCCAATAATTCATGTTCTCTCCATCCGGTTGTCAACGGTTATAATGGTGTTACCCTTGTAAAATCTCTTGGTGTTACTCGATGTCAACCAGTGAAGCATAATCTATGAAGATCCATTTTGTTCCAATCATTAAAATTACCTATATTTAGCTCACTATTACCAAATGAAATTTCCAGGTTCAAAAACACTGAAATAGGCAATAGAGTTACGGAAAACAATTTTTGTTGGCATATATTTGACATATGGGAAGACTAATACAGAGTTGTACAGTATCTTCTATGAACAGTTCGATAATAAAGCGGACAGGATAGAGTAAAAGTAAAATTGCAACTTTTGGCAATTATTTTGACGTAACCAAAAAGACGGTGCTCAGTGGATATTTCAGTTTATAAACAAATAAATACATAAGTTACAGTATTAAAACTTACTGTCAAAACTAATATAACTTATAAGAAACATAAAAAGGATTGGAAGTACATTGAGCTTGTTCAGAGAAACCTTTGTGGACCGTAAACATTGACGGGCAGAAATTTGTGGTGAATGAAACTTGCATTGAGAAGGGTTTTCATCTTTCTGTACTGACTAAATCGGTTTAATTCTTTATAGAACGGATATTACAGCAGCATCATAATTAGCTTGTTCAAAGATCATTGTTGAAATTTGGCATCCTGAATGCAGTTATTCAACTGAACAATAACAGGCGGCAAACTGACTTTTGACTGTTTTTAAGACATTTTTTTTTCTTTTACAGCAACAGAAAAACTGGAAAAAAGTTTCAAAGGAGGAGAAAATTTTTATTAGCGCTT